GACGGGACTAATTACTGGGTAAAAATGGTGCTTACACTCGCAATATTTCGACAGCTGATTGCTCTCAAAGGTCTTTGAAAAGTCTTTGAAAATAGGCAGAAAAAATCTTTGAAAGTTTTTGGAATTTTTTGGACTTGGATACTACGAACCCTGCTCTACCTTAATGCATGAAATAGAGTTTCGCAGACCCTAAAAATAGAAAATTGTATAGAAGAAATGCCCCAAACGACCAATGATCACTCATTTCCAAACGACCAATGATCACTCCTAAAGCCTGATTTCTTTTAAATCACAGGAGTCGCGCAATCACAAGAATCATGGGGTTTTGGTCATGCGCAATCGTCAGAACACACGCCTTTCACTTCTGATATCGTGGATTCGATTCCCGTTGTGGACGTTTATATGATAGCCATGTGAAAAGAGTCAGTCAACGCTTTGCCGAAAGTCGTGGGTTTTCTCCGGTGCTCCGGTTTCCTCCCACAGGGAATGTTAACAGGGTTGGTTAGGATTGGCCCCCAAGCTGGGATTAGTCCTAAAAACTGACCCTTCCATCGTAGGTGTGCGCCGTGATCCATTGAACTAAAAATAACTGGAACGCCACGTTGACGCGGAAGTTTGAAGCTAAATTATACAAGGTCGTACACAGGCTTTAAAAGGCCCGTTTTGAAATAAAAGGCCCGTTTCCCTTTCGATTCACATATTGCAATGAAAACTTTCAAAACGGCATGCTTCGATCGCCCCCTGCATTGTTTCGCGAGTAAATCGCGCAGTAGAAACACGCGTGGAAGTGCGTGTCTGGGAGTCAAAACTGGCTTCATTTGGCTTCATAGGAGTCAAATTTTGGCTTCAAAATTTGCATGCGCAGTTTACTGAACGTAGCGTTCCAGTTATTTTTAGTTCAATGCCGTGATCAGTCATGATCAGGTGGCTGCCAGGGGCGCCCTTAGAAAGCCTTCGATTCGATCAGGATGAGCTGTGTCCGATCCTTCGCAATTCAGCTTAGCTCTCAGCTGCGAGTAAGGATAATAAGAACACCCTACTAAGAATCGGAGCAATCGCAGAAATCGCAACCAGCCAATTACTACGACTCTTGCGAAGCGATAATGGGCAATTTCAGCTATAGACTAAATTTTGATCTGGGCAAGAAGATCAAAATCCATCACCACAGCTAGAAAGAGCAAGTTAAAATGAGTGAAATTGCAAAGTTTGGTTGCGAAATGTTGTCAAATGAGGAAAATATAGCCCTACGAAATTTTGTATTAATTTGTATTACGCACGGAAAAATGCACCACATTTCGGCCGAAATGTGGTGCATTTTCCCGCGCGTAATACAAATTAATACAAAATTTGCAAATTTCGTAGGGCTATATTTTCCTTATTTTACAACATTTCGCAACCAACCTTTGCAATTTTACTAATTTTAACATGCTCTTTCTAGCTGTGGTGATGGATTTTGTTCTTCTTGCCTAGATCAAAATGTAGTCTCCTGCGGAAATCATCTATTGCGATATTACGATTCAGTGGAAACCAGGTACACCTACCTGTACAGACCAAATGAAAGTCATCACAGGCAAGCACAAGTTTCTTCTTTGTTGACTCTTTGTAAAACCAGCGCGGTATACATTTGTCAAGGAAAAGCTTCCCATTTCAAAGCGCATATATACTCCCAAACTATATGACCTATTTCAAAAAGCCATCTCAAACGTGGCGGTCCAGTGTAGGAAGCTGCCGTGGTTTGTGTCTGAACTACCTGAAAAATATATTTCATATGTGGATGTCAAATGTGAAGTATATTGATCTAGTCATAGGACTGGATCAAAATTAATTCAGTCCTTGGACTGGATCACCTCACCTTAAGTAGTGATTTATTCGTATGAGATGTTATTTCAAATCCTATTTCAAATCCTCGCACTGCATGGACTAGATTTCAAGTCTCGCATTTTGAACTTGAAATCCAGTCCTCATAGTCGGATTTGAAATATAAGCTGCCATGGTTTGTGTCTGTACTATATGACAGATTTGACTAGACTTACTGTATATGTTATTAAAAAAATGATATTATAGTAATCTCATATATAAAATAAGTTTTGTAAATTATACTATACACTTAGAAACCTTAGCAATAAATACTATAGAGATCAACTTTTTTTTAATTTAGTTTTAAATACTCAAATATAATCTCATAATGGTAGTGGTCAACTCGAAAGCTTCTGCTCCTTTGACCACTACGCACTCTTCATCTGTAAATACATATTATGAAATATAATGTAAATATATATATAGTATACTAGTAATACATACTCTTGTAAGAAAGAAATAAGTGCAAATAAAACTGATTCTGATTCTACTTGAAAAAGATCTCTTAAACGTGGTTGTCCACTGGACCACTAGGCACTACGTTTGAGATATCTTTTTCGGGTAGTTCAGACACAAACCACGGCAGCTTATTGTAGAATACTACCTACACTGGATCACCACGTTTGAGATATCTTTTTCAGGTAGTTCAGACACAAACCACGGCAGCTTATTGTAGAATACTACCTACACTGGACCACCACGTTTGAGATATCTTTTCAGGTAGTTCAGACACAAACCACAACAGCTTATTGTAGAATACTACCTACACTGGACCACCACGTTTGAGATATCTTTTCAGGTAGTTCAGACACAAACCACGACAGCTTATTGTAGAATACTACCTACACTGGACCACCACGTTTGAGATATCTTTTCAGGTAGTTCAGACACAAACCACGACAGCTTATTGTAGAATACTACCTCCACTGGACCACCACGTTTGAGATATCTTTTTCAGGTAGTTCAGACACAAACCACGACAGCTTATTGTAGAATACTACCTACACTGGACCACCACGTTTGAGATATCTTTTTCAGGTAGTTCAGACACAAACCACGACAGCTTATTGTAGAATACTACCTACACTGGACCACCACGTTTGAGATATCTTTTTCAGGTAGTTCAGACACAAACCACGGCAGCTTATTGTAGAATACTACCTACACTGGACCACCAAGTTTGAGATATCTTTTTCAGGTAGTTCAGACACAAACCACGGCAGCTTATTTGCAGAATACTACCTACACTGGACCACCACGTTTGTATACCTACACTGGACCACCACGGACTGTATTTCTTTTAAATTTTCTAACTTTTCTTTGAGTTTTAGCTAATTTGAATTTGAAAGGGTTCAATTTTGTTATACACACTGTACAGGCAGGGTGTAAAAAAAAAGTACATCCTTTCAAATTCAAATTAGCCATAACCTTTTAAATATTCGTTGCTCTGCAGCTAAGCTTATATCTTATGCAGACTGGAATAATGCTTAATTTAAATATTTTTCTTTGAGTTGTGCATTTGTTCATACAAATAGAAATTATCCTAAATTCCCATCTGCAGAAGACCATGTGTTTTCACGCATTCATTAATTCGAGAAATTATATGGCAGTCAAATTACTACAATACAGAGGGTGTATAAAAAAAGGAGACCTTTAAAAATCAAGCATATTGTTAAAATTTGAATGCCTTTTCAATTGCACATATGCTGAACCGTAGTGCGTGAAATATTGATGGGTGCATATATTAGAAAAAGGAGACCTTTCGAAATTGAAATAACGTTTAAACACAAGATTGTCTGCTCCTGGGAAAATCTGCCATGCATACTGTACGTAGATCGCATGTTTCGCACTCGTGGGCTTAGCAAAGTGCTCCAGGATTCAAATTATAACAATGGTTGATTTCTAAAAGCCATGTTACACGGTGCAATTTTTCTTGCAACTTTCAATGCAATTCTACTCTTGACAGATCTAAAATTGCCAAATACTAGTCTTCATTACAACCCGCTGATGTTTTCTCAACATATCGAAAATTCTTCACTGATTTCACTAATTAACATCTCTCAACAGTAGAATTGCATTGCAAGTTGCAAGAAAAATTGCACCGTGTAACATGGCCTTAAAGAAAAGGAAAAAAGGTTCTAATATATGCACTCCATCAGGTAGAAAAAGGTTCTAATATATGCACGCAATCAATATTTCACGCACCACGGTTTAGCATATGTGCAATTGAAAAGGCATTCAAATTTTAACAATATGCTTGATTTCTGAAGGTCTCCTTTTTTTATACACCCTGTAGATTACGGTTAATTTGAATTTGAAAGTGTGTACATTTTTTTGATACACCCTGTAGACCCTTTGCAGAATAAGTGAATAAAGAAAAGTGACATGGAGAACAGTGGGATTTTCAAAACAATGAAAAGACAATGGAACATTCTGATCACTGGATCATGACTGGATGACATGGAGAACAGTGGGATTTTCAAAACAATGAAAAGATAATGGAACATTCTGATCACTGGATCGTGACTGGATGACATGAAGAACAGTGGAATTTTCAAAACAATGAAAAGACAATGGAACATTCTGATCACTGGATCATGACTGGATGACATGAAGAACAGTGGGATTTTCAAAACAATGAAAAGACAATGGAACATTCTGATCACTGGATCATGACTGGACGACATGGAGAACAGTGGAATTTTCAAAACAATGAAAAGACAATGGAACATTCTGATCACTGGATCATGACTGGATGACATGAAGAACAGTGGAATTTTCAAAACAATGAAAAGACAATGGAACATTCTGATCACTGGATCATGACTGGATGACATGAAGAACAGTGGGATTTTCAAAACAATGAAAAGACAATGGAACATTCTGATCACTGGATCATGACTGGATGGCATGGAGAACAGTGGGATTGTCAAAACAATGAAAAGACAATGGAACATTTTGATCACTGGATCATGACAGGATGGCATGGAGAACAGTGGGATTTTCAAAACAATGAAAAGACAATGGAACATTCTGATCACTGGATCATGACTGGATGGCATGGAGAACAGTGGGATTTTCAAACAATGAAAAGACAATGGAACATTCTGATCACTGGATGTCAGTATTGTTGTGCTTCAGTATTGTAGTGCTATTCAACAATCTCATTGCAATAAGACACTCTCCCTTTCCTTCATAATTTTTTTATTTTCTGTTTCACTTTAGCCAACCACGATGGTTTGGTCGTATTCATCTCCAGTCATGGGAAGGCGAGAGGCTTTCAAACCGTTGACAAAAAAATCGTCGAAGTCGAGGAACTCACTTCGCGAGTCAACGGTAAACAGTGCAAAGCTCTGCGAGGAAAGCCGAAACTATTCTTTATTTCTGCCTGCCGTGGAACCAAATCAGATCCTGGGATTCAGCCGGGTGTTATCGACTCCGATGCAAACGGGGATGAGAAACTGGTACCCAAACTCCCAACCGAAGCGGATTTCTTGGTGTGTTATTCCACGACCAAGTATCATATATCCTACCGGAGATTTACCCTAGGGGTACAAAACTCCCCCGAGATGGGGACATGGTTGATCAGTTCACTTACCCAAGTTTTTGAGGAAAGAATGAATGACGAGGATGTTATGCAGATGTTAACACGTGTTAACGCAACCGTTGCCAACATGGCAAGTCGTGATGATCACGTGAATGGCATGAAGCAAATGCCTGTGCAGATGCACATGCTAAGGCATCGGGTCTTCTTTGGAAAGTGACATGTGATTGGTTGCCACGGTTACTAAAACTGATCTCAAATATTTGTAGAACTGGAGCATGATTATGCATTAACTAATTGTAATTTTGATAAGATGGACGCTACTGGGTCTTTTAGATATCAGTTGTCAGTGAAAATTTACGTCAATTGTAGTAGGATATTTTATAACATGTCAGTTCCAAATTGGAGATACTCCATCGATCAAAAATACGGCTTTAATATCAGCTCTAATAAATGTTTGCAGTAATATAGTTTAATATCTTTAATATCCCCCAAACGCCAAAGAATACTTTGGCTACAATCTTCATATAATTCCACCAACTATTTCCCAGTGCAAAACAATGACGTAATACTGTTTTCTGTAAAATAGGCTAACAATAAGATTCTACCGTACAATTCGGAAAGAACAGCGCCTTTAAAGTATCTCACTATAATCACCCCGAAATTAGATTCATTGCATAAATGCTAAAGTATTCAAAACAATGAGTAACTGGATGGCATGGAGAACAGTGGGATTTTCAAAACAATGAAAAGACAATGGAACATTCCGATCACTGAATCATGACTGGATGACATGGAGAACAGTGGGATTTTCAAAACAATGAAAAGACAATGGAACATTCTGATCACTGAATCATGACTGGATGACATGGAGAACAGTGGGATTTTCAAAACAATGAAAAGACAATGCAACATTCCGATCACTGGATCATGACTGGATGACATGGAGAACAGTGGGATTTTCAAAACAATGAAAAGACAATGGAACATTCCGATCACTGAATCATGACTGGATGACATGGAGAACAGTGGGATTTTCAAAATAATGAAAAGACAATGGAACATTCCGATCACTGGATCATGACTGGATGACAGAGAGAACAGTGGGATTTTCAAAACAATGAAAAGACAATGGAACATTCCAATAGCTGAAGCATGACTGGATGGCATAGAGAACAGTGGGATTTTCAAAACAATGGAACATTCCGATCACTGAATCGTGAATGGATGACACTGTTGTTACGCCAAGTGTTGAAAGCCTGGTTGAAAGTGTTATACAAGGCCACAAGGGCAGTCTGAGAAGTAATGGTAAAGAAAATGTGTTCGGTCTTTAATAGGCATCCGTTACTTTCCGAATTCTACGGTAACTGTATGAACCACATCGTATCCTAATTTCAAAACCAGCAACGTCACATTTTGAGCAAGGAAGAGCTCACATTAAATTTCATTCCAAGTGGACCAATACATGTTTATTTGTAACTAAAGATTCTAGTTTCATCCGTGACAGGTTGTCCCGACATAGCTTCCCCAAGATCCTCACTGAGCTCGGCTACTTTCGCAGGTTTGTCATAATACGTGACCGCCTGGGCCATAGCGTGGGCACGCTTCGTGGGGTTGCCGCTCTTGAATATGCCTGAGCCCACGAACACTCCGTCCACACCAAGCTGCATGAGTAATGACACATCCGCTGGCGTCGCTACGAAGAAATGACACTTGCATAAGATTTAGTGATACTTTGATAATTGAAGATAAGATACCGTAAACCTCCAAATATAAGTCTCCCCCCTCCCGAATATAAGCTCGCGTGCATAAGCCCACCACTAACGCTCAGGCCATTCCCAATATAAGCCCCCCCCCTCCCGAATATAAGCCCCCCCTCCCGAATATAAGCCTCTCCGTGCATAAACCCATGGGATTATAATTGGACAGGTATTTATTAACGCAGTGATGGGATCCCAACAGCTCAGACGAGTGACATTAGGGCCATTTATACGGAACAAAATAAGACGCGACTTACATAAGACGCGACTTAGGTAAGACGCGAGTTTGTCGTATAAAAGGTACAAAATTCTTATGTAAGACGCGTCTTGGATAAGACGCGTCTTACATAAGAACAGGTCTTTTAGCTGTTCTTATTTAAGTCGCGTCTTAAATAAGAAATTTTGGACAAAAAGTCTAACTACACATGCCAGAAACTTGAAACAACGTAAAATTTAATGCCTTGCATATTAAAACAAAAACAACCAAAACAACATTATAGCTATAGCAAATAAATAAGACCAAAGCCGTAGAGAACCATTTATGCGATAACTCCACTTATTTAAGTCGCGTCTTGTGTTAGTCGCGACTTATTTTGTCACGTATAAATGGCCCTAATAATTACATTACAGTATTATATGTTAACCAACTTTTTATTTGTTTTGTATAAATACTAAGGTGATTTTAATGAAGGTGTAATTGGGTAAATATTAGGATTTGGTGCAACACTCGACATGACAACTAATCCTTATACAATTAACTATGTCAAGTGTATAGGTGCTCAAATCCTAAAGAAAAATATGGACTCTGTGGATCACTACCTTACCTCTCATATTGATCACTGCAGAAATAAGCCAAAGACTTAGCCAAAATTATTTAATATTTCATCTCGTGGTTCACGCCATATTTGATAAAAGAGGGTATAGGGCAACTTGAGAACAAGATTGTATCGAGTTTCTCACTCACCGGTGAGCGAATTTCCCAACAGGGCCAGAAAATCTAACCATTTACTTATGTCAATGTAAAGGTACTAGCTCTTTTTCTTCAATTATTTTAAGACCTTGAGTAGAGGTCCGACCAAGAATTGAACCCGGCTCTCCTAGCTTGAAACGCAAGCGTGGCGACTACATATGGTCAACTACTCACTGCTTGCTAGGAACCGATCCTGTTTTCTCGCGGCGAATTTGTCACTAACCTAACCAATCACAGTGCTGAAATATGTCTTCCGCATGAATAAAATTCGCCCAGTAGAAGACGGGCTTCAGGCCCCGTTTAAATGACCGAAGAGCATTGTTTGTTTAGGTCATACTGTCTTCCATATAGTAGCTGTTCACATGATATCAGGTTGAGAAATTGCTAATATTGGTTACAAGACATTGCGCTAGCTAGGTCACACAAATCACACCATATCACACTTACCCAGACCTCCAGCGGCGAAGTTGACGACGGGCAATCGTCCTAATTCAGCGGTCTTCTTAAGCAGTTGGTGTGAAACTTGAAGCTCCTTAGCATAAGCATACAGTTCAGTAGCGTCCATTGATTGGGCTCGTTTGATTTCGCTGTTGATCTGTCTAGCATGCCTCACCGCCTCGGCTACGTCACCTGAACGGGAGTAAGATATACACGGTAAGTATTTATGAGTAGTATACATGGAACGTCCGTATACAGGACACATTCGGACCAAAATATGTTGGTGTTTGCTGTCTCTAGAGATTTGGTGATAGTAGTTAGATAAGAGAAACATGGATTTTTATACAAACTGCCTCTTATTTGCGGAGTTTGATCTGGCCTGAATTTCAGGCAGTCTACTGTACTTGCAAGAAGGGAACCCGAAAGGCGGACTGCATAGACTGCAGTGCCAATCTTTAGAACCCATGAAACTGCAGTGCGAATATTTAAGGCTACGCGGTTTACACTATACTGGATAGTTCTCCGTAGCGGCACGAAAAAGCACCTATCTGATACGGGAATGTACAAGCTGAGAACAGGCTTCAGAAGCTGAGCGAAACAACATCTCTCCGTTGCAATAATTCCTCTAAAAAATATGCCCGGCGACGGTGGGAATCGAACCTACGACCTTTGGAATACTAGCCCAATGCTCTGCCAACTGAGCTACGTGGTCAGGTCGGTTCGAGTAAGTGATATTTCGGAACAGAATCTAGTTCCTTCGATACCAATGTAATCTATAGTAATATGATTTTTTTGTGTTGGTGTTGTGCACTCAGGTGAATATGATGTTTGTGATGTTACTCGTAGGTTCGATTCCCACCGTGGCCAGGCATATTTTTCAAGCTCGCCCGGTGTGGATATACACTCAGAGTAACACCACAAACATCATATTCACCTGAGTGCACAATACCAACACAGAAAAAAAATTCCTCTAAAAATAGCGTTCCTAAATGGTACGGATAGACAAATGCTACGTTTTTTCACATCGCTATGGAAAGCTATCCATGAGTACAGTCACTACTACAGTGGAAACGTAGCCTGAGGTTGTTTGTACTGATGCATGCAAGTCAGTTTTGCTTCCATTGTCATTGTTTGGAGGTGTTTGAACATTGTTTCGAGGCTTCAAATAAAGGATTTGAATAAAAACATTGGGGACCTGACTCACTGTCAGTTAGGATATACAGAGCCCCCCCTGGTAGGGGACTCCGATGTTGACCTTCCTTTTGGCATATAAAACTTCAATAAATTACAAAATGTTTCCATACCTGTGCCAGCTTCGCCTTTGGTTCGTATCATGGCCGCTCCTTCGTCTATCCTTCTCAAAGCTTCGCCCAAGTTTCGAGCACCGCATACGAAGGGAATTTTAAATGGATGTTTGTTGATGTGATGCGTGTAGTCGGCTGGAGTTAAAACTGAGATATGGAAAAGTATTAGCTATGATTCAATGAACAAGAGGCATCATGCTAACCACATCAGTTACTCATAGTCTGCTTTCATATAGTGATTGTATTACCTTCTGACTCATCAATCATGTCCACCCCTATCTCCTGCAGGATCTGAGCCTCGGCAAAATGCCCAATGCGAGCCTTCGCCATGACTGGGATCGTTACTGCGGCCATGATTTCTTTGATCATCTACAGACAGGAAAGTATTTTGAGAGAGTGTGGATCTTATCTGGAACAACCCATTTTCCTCAATATTTGACAACTGCTGAATTCATAAATGCACGTAAACTATATGGATTGTCCCTTAAACATTATTTCTTGCTACCTTAGGATCTGACATTCTTGCAACTCCGCCCTGTTTTCGAATGTCTGCTGGCACTCGCTCTAATGCCATCACTGCACACGCCTACACCAAAACCAAATATTGATTGTTAGTTTTTTATAAAATTTTTATATGTATATAGCATATATGTAATCCAATTGACATCACAAGTGCAGTTTGTCCAAATAAATTAAGTCAACTTTCACATTGAACTAAGATCTCTTAGGTTACATTTACAATGTACCAGATTGCTTTCGGTAGCGATGTGAAAAAAACCTATCTGTACTTTTTGGGGGTGAACCATCAGAAAAGTGATGGGGGGGGGGGGGCTTTTTTAACTTGTACGAATATTTTTTTTAAATTTTTCGCTTGTGTTGATAATTTTTTTAATATACCTTGCACAATTTTTTTTTATTTCAACTTATAATTTTCCCTATTGAGAAGTCTCTGCACAAATTTTTTTTTCAAACTTTTTTGTTTCGCTCAGCTTCAGAAATGTGTACATACCGTATTGGATAGGTGCTTTTTCGTGCCACTACAGAAAGCTGTTCTAGATCTGTATGGTGTGAACATAGCATAATGATATACTACATGGCTAGCATGTGTAGAGCAACATCTGAAGCAGTCATCTACCTACCCCGGCAGCTTCTGCAATTTTTGCCTGTTCAGCATTCACGACATCCATGACAATGCCACCTTTTGCCATTTGAGCCAAACCGGACTTCACTTTGAATGTTCCTAGGAAGTTTAGACAGTGGTCAGCACATGCACCTTTCTTCTCTCTGACTGGGGTGTAATTGTTGTAATGTGTCATTCCAGAAAACACCCACGCCTCACCCTACCCCTTTCAGATGCCACCATACACATCGACAACATCCACACCTAACAACATCATTGTCAAAAACATCCAAACACCCTCTACCCCTTTTGAACATCCTAAAACATTTTGCTATAGAAGTAGATTTTGTCTCTCTTCCTCCGGATGTTCAGCCGAAATTTCCTCTGTAGGGGAGTGTGGATCTTTTCTGGAATTACCCGACATGCAATTGTCTGATCATAATGTCACTTCATTTACATGTGAGAAGAGCGGTTCAAGTTCGACAAATTATACTGCAGTTTTTTTTCCAGCCATTTCCTCCCGTAGTCAAGGCTGCCAAGAGATTTTGCATTTTACCTGTCTGGTGGAGCACGTCAGTCTTAACATGTTCTTTCTTGATGTTACTCTTTGACAGATTAGTGACATTGTCCACTTCGACACCGTTATCTTAAAACGATGTAAAATTATAGGATTAGAAAAAGTAGAGTAACAGGTAGAATACACAGGGTACAGTATGTTAGGGTGAGACGTTAAACAAGAAACATTTTTGATACGGTAACACAAACACCAACTTTGCTTGAAATCAAGGACGGTATAGTCAATGCAGTTTCACAAAAAACACTTACAGAAGTCTGACTTACGATTTTGGTATAACCGTTGCAATACTGTTGCCATGGTCCTAGGCTCTCGTAAGAGCGCATGGTCCTAAATGGCTCTCGTAACTCGTAAGAGCACTAGTTAAGAACATGACAAATGAATTTGATAACAAATCAGTGTGAATCATTACTTGGCGGCTGTTACGCTCTTTTGGCCGAGTTAGATTTCTGTTAAATGCTTATTCTGTGGTTCCACATTTGTGATCTAAACAAGAATGGCCGTCTCCATCACTCGCCATTTATAATGGTTGCTTTCGGACTTCCGGTTGCCATACAATATTGTTGTCAAAAACATCACTTGCTAAGCTCTCTGTTAATGGGACAGATGGAAAAATTTGCAAATTGCCCTGAAGAGGTTTTCTGCATCTTTTGTACACCCAGTTTTGCATTCCTAGTTTTTAAATCCTCACACAGCTACGGTAAATCACATCAAAATTGTGCGTCTAAGCAAAATACCTAGCCACCAAGATCTTGTTTGCACAATAGATTAACCTTCCAATCATATTGGCAAGCGAGGCAAAGGCTAGAATAAGCTAGTACACAATTTATAGTACAAATACAAGGTACAAATATTGGGCGCCGGATACAGAACGTTGATTCACTGATTCACTGATTTGGCATAAAAAATTTTAAATGCATTCTTAGCAGCAAAATTTCATGAGCTGTTATTTTATTAAACTTTGCGAATATAGATAATTCCATATAAAAACATATTAATTCACGCGAACTAGTGCTAATTTGAGACAATTTAAAACCAATCGTAGTCTAGACTACAAAAGTATAAATCTGTCTAGAATTTATATATATTTTTGCAAAGCCTTTCGACGTTTTATAAACCATACAAAAAGTCAACATTACATGATATACTCACGGTTTTGCATGTTTGTTGCAGCTTTTTAGACACAAAATCCTTTAGATGCTTCTTGAGATGAAAGGCAAAAGCCACACTACAGGAGAGACGATTGACCTTTGCAGGTGTTTATAGTGCGTCGCTCGAGGTGTACATGTCATCAGATTATCACCCTGTTTAATACGTCAGACTTAAGTGTATTACTGGGCTCTATGGAGGACAGGGAAGTATTTTTAACAGAAATTAAAACGTCAATGAAATAGATTCAACGTTGGTTTAGTTATATTTTTAGGTTTGAAAAAGCAATGACGCATAATGAAAAACAAGAAATACGTTTTAATATCGTAGGTTTGAAGGGCTCACGCAGAGGAAAAAGCGGCAAATTCGGAAATGTCGTCAGAACGATATAATATTGCTTCGGGTTTTGTTACATATGAAAGAATAACATTGAAAGAATAAGGTCATTTTACGAAATTTACGCAAATATTGCATCATTTTAATATTTGAAACAAAGAGTTTTACTTTGGAGGGAAATTTTATATTCGGAAAATGCCATTCGAGATGGAAGTATTAAACTGTCAGTTTAACTTTTTCCAAAGGGATTTTGAGAAAAATTGAAAACTAGACAATATCTAATGCACTATTTAAACTCTGTCTGTTTAGCTATTAGCCAGAGGCTATTAGCAGCACATTTAGTTTTTAAGTTCTGGACAACTAATATTTCTCATTATTAGACAAGGAAATTTTGGGAAAGGAAGTTCTATTTTGACACAAAGGAAGCACCAACGTTATTATACATTATAAATGTCACAAATTATTTTATATTTTTCAACATTTTTGAGAATTTTTCACATGCAACTACAGTAAAATCGTTGGGTGTTTTTTATTCTCGTACAAAAATGGACTTTACAATCGGCATCCTTGGCATACAGGGTGGTTTTTCTGAGCATGAATGTGCTCTACGAAAATGCCTCAAACAAAATGGTGGTGTGTTTGAGGATATTAATCTAAAAGTACATAGAGTGACCCAGGCCTCGGATGTTCCGGGTTTGGATGGCTTGGTTATCCCCGGGGGTGAAAGTTCGGTTACATCTCGGATCTTGGACGATGCGATCATGGATGAATTATGCACGTGGGCAAATGACGATAAACATATTTTGTTTGGAACGTGTGCAGGCTTGATAGTATTGTCCAAGAATATCGAGAATTCTATGGCGGGGCAACAGCGACGCCTTTCAAAGGTAAAGGGGTCTACCCTTGGTTACTTTATACAATGCGACCTAACCCACTACACACACAAAAATCGCACATCTTGTAGCAAGTCTGCCAACAAGTTGTGTTCGCACTGCTTGTCCCAAGTTGTCAACAAGTTTGCATGGAACAAGCTGTTAACAACTTGTAACAACCTTGTTGATATTATCAGACTTGTTGCAAAGTTGTTCCAACAAGTCCGATACAGTCATGATATAACAATATTGTTACAATCTTGTGTCGTCAGCCTTGTAACATTCTTGTTATGTCATGACTGTATCAGAATTGTTAGAACAACATTGTAACAAGTTTGATAATGCCATCAAGCTTGTTACAAGATGTTACCAGCTTGCTTCAACTGGGAATGTGAACACAATGTTACAACTGGGAATGTGAACACAAGTTGTCGACAGCTTGTGAACAGATTTGTAATAACTTGTTTGCAGACCTGTAAGTTTTTATGTGGGTAGGTTGCATTGTGCTCCAATGCACCATACTTAGATTAAAGTATAAATTACAAGTCATTGATGCCATGGTTGATGTAAAATCCATCTAAAATGTACATTTGTATTTCTGTAGCTGGCAAAACTTGACATTACAACAAGTCGAAATTACTTTGGTCGGCAACTAAACAGCTTTGAAGGTCAAATCCACATCAAGGACAAAGAAGTTTCCGAGTTGCACACTGGCAAAAATGACGCACCCGACGTATGTAATGGAGTGTTTATCCGAGCCCCAGGAATCGTGTCGATAAACAGTCCGACTGTTAAAACATTAGCAACCATACAAGTCGGAGAGAAAGAAGTCATTGTTGGCGTACAAGATAAGAACTGTATTGCATTAGCATTTCATCCCGAATTGACAGACGATATCAGATGGCATGCTTATTTCTTAACTATGATCATTAAGAGAAATTCAAAGCAGTGAATTGCACAGTAGATGTAGACATAATGTACATTTTTGGAATATGGTGAAGTGAATTAACATAATAAAGCCAAGATGTCTTTATAAAAAAAATTAAAGTAAACCTCACAAATTTACACAGTCATGCAAAATTATATAACAGGGTAGTCAAAAATTTGAATCGGAAAATTCTTGATAAATATGATCAACAAGACAACAACATGTATAGTTGATATTGATATAAATAACAAATTATTTCATAATAGTGTTAAGCTACAGTTTGCATTTTGTCTTGTTACAGGCAATAAAATGAGTAAAAACATTGTGGACTAGTGTAACAGACAGTATATATACCATTACCTTATGTTGACCTGTTTTGAAACTGTAGTTCAGATTTTTATAAAACTATTGTTCCAAAAGCTTTTGTGAAATTTAATGCCCTTTTTCTATTTTCACCTATCCAGATCACAAAAATAAAGTCTCACAAAGTTTTGCCTCGAAAAAATCGTGAAATTAAGTATGTGCTAAAATAAGTATGAATAAGGTGGTACAATAGTCTTATCTGAATAAAGCCCCGTTTACACTACGCTCAATTTTTGGTACGGCACGGATAAAATTGGTACCCGTACCACTTTTTTGGGTTCTTGGACTACCTATTTAGCTAAGCCCTGTTTACACTACGCTCAATTCTTGGTACCGTACCACTTTTTGTGGTAAAAGTGGTACTGGTACCAATTTTATCTGTGCCGTACCAGAAATTGAGCGTAGTGTAAACAGGGCTTAATTAAGTAAATAGACTGGTGATAGCCTATTGAAGGGAAGATGGCTGTGAAACTCATTAGAATAACAATGTAACTCATCTGTGTTAGTCAACGTTTATTCATAAATCTGATCCTTCACCGTCACGTGCGTATTGTATTTTTGCCCAAGTAACCTGAACTAACCAATAGCAATGTTTTAGAAAAGTTACCTATCCATGACTCAAACAATAGATTGGAAATTGCTATTGGTGGGCTGTTTGGTAAAAATACAATACACACGTGACGGCGAAGTTCCAGATTTATGAATAAACGTTGACTACTAACATAGATGAGTTATATTGTTATTCTAATGAGTTTCACAGCCATCTTCCCTTCGATAGGCTATGGACTGATCTATATGTAGACTTTCCAAAGTCCATTACTGTAGGTTATAATACTGCTATCATTCTACTGGGTGACTTGTGCAAGACTGGGCAATATATTCAGACAAAACCACATTAATTGTTTTGGCCTCACTGAACTATCGTTGACACTGGTTCATAGACTCTAAGTTTTGCATCAAGCAGTTTCCCATAAAGAAAATTATATGGATGACAATATTTGGTCTTCGCATTGTTACAATCAACCAGTTCCTTCCCCTCATTGGCCCATTTAAATATGGATCCTTCGAGATTACACAGTTCCGATGTTATATCAATTTTTTGCATTTCTTTCAATATTTTAAATTCAGGGTAGAGTTTTTGCACCATGTTTGACGAACGATACCCGACAGAGCAGTAACACAATATTTGCACATGATGGTCGGTAATATCTGAAATGTAAGACAATGGAAATCAGCACCGTATAATTTGCCTGGATACCGTGGAAATAAATGTCCAAATTTCATATCGAAATGCAGTTTTGCCTGAAAGAAGTGTCATGTTTGCAATCAAAATTTCATATCATCATAGTGTTGTATTTTCGAACAAAATACGATCCAAATATGTAAAATTTGGTCCGATTCTGATTGGATTCGGACACCTCTACTAGGGAGCCAGCCACCTTAACTTACTTTCTAAACATTGTTTGATCTTTGTCATAACCTGATCAACCGGTTCATCGGGTTTGACTCGTATTGCATTCGGCAAATGACTGACATCATACTCGTCTTGTTCTCGAACATCCTGCACAAAGGTGGAATAATAATTAGATTTATTTTCCTTGATTTTAATAGTAATAGAGAGAATATAATACTTTTGACGTTTTCAAAGACACATGCAATCAAATGGAATGGTTTTGGATTGAATTGTTTTAAGGGTGGGTTTAACCAAGCTCTATTGTGCAGCTCTATCTGAAATATACGCTTGAAAACACTGGATTAAAAAATAGTCTAAAATAATGTTGAAAAGCTCTGAATCTCAGATTTCAGATTTTTTCAGATTTTTAATGATTTGCAATATATACAAAAAAAAAGAATTCAAGAACGTCATTACAAAAATAGTTAAAATTACTTATTATAATAGAATAAATGATGACTTGGTTAAATTATGCCCAGTAGTCAAAGTAGCAAGAAGCTTTCGAGTTGACTACTGTCTATGTGAGATTTTTCAGTGTATTTGAGCTAAGAATATTAGAAAAAAAAAACACACACAAAAATATTTGAAGGGATGATGATGTATGCAGATCCATAGACCATACTAGGAATATATGCAAATAGAAATACAAATTAGCCATTCCGAAGTTGATGAGAGGACCGGGACAAGTGTCAAAAAGTGCCCAAATTAAGAAATGAACCAACCCACCAAAAAGACCACCCCAAAATTAGCAAGCATACAAAGTTTGAAGACGTTCACATGAACGGTCAGCACTTGTTTCCAACCACCAAACTGACATGACGTCATTTTCAGAAGATTGAAGAGGTGTTAAATGGCTATGTAACTAGCCCAAACCCTACCCCTACTCTAACCCCTAACCCTAACCGCAACACTAACTCTAACCCTAACCAAATTAATTAAAAAATCCAAAAAGAAACAACTTTAGAAATTGATCAAATGATGTAATGTCAGTTTGGTAGATGGAAACAAGTGAAAACCCACATGAACACCCTTCGAACAACAAGCTTTCGAAAATTGTGAAACTACTGATTAAAAGATTGTTTTTGGGACGCACGTCAGAAAATCCCAAACAAATCCTTCACCATAAAAGTTGACCACAACATTCTTTTTTACTCACAGATGTTGCCAAGCAACATTTGTTAGTCTTTGTGGTTACTTGAGTCACTCAAGTTTAGTTGAGTGTTTAATAATAAAAATGAAGACGTCTTTTTTATTTTTTGGCACCCTATTACTTACCAACAAAATAAGGTTTTTATATTTATTTCCTTCTATGAACTTCGCAAGCTCACCAGTGTCCATTTGTTTAACGCTCGGAAAAGCATTCCTAATACCAAAAAGAGCAACTCGCATCGAGATAGATTTATCTTCGGAATCTTCTCCCCTCGTCGCCGCCATCTTGGCCGAGCTGCATCGCAATATTGGTGGACTGGGCTCTGTAAATGATTGACCAATCACCATTCTCCAATCTCTCCCAGAGCATTCCCGTTCGCAGGTTAGACAATCTCAAGATATATTTTTATCCCAAATTATGACGTCATAACATGGTGGTTAACGCACAGGTTTGCTAGGAATTTCGTGCAGGTGTGTGATTTTCTTAGCCCCCTTTGATTCCCTAATTCCTATCATGCCATCGTAATAAAATGCCCAAACCATTTTGCTGTTGCTTAATTCCATTTCTTTTCTCCCTTAGAGATTCCTTTCAAGTTTTTCTATGTTATATAACTGCGCAAATGATATTTAGTTCAACTGATACAATAAGACAATGACTTAACCACTGATTGCGTGGTTAACAAAGAGTCGCTGAAGCTATACAAATGCAAAATAACGGCAAATTCTTTCACTCTGCCCAGCATATCGCAGCATATCACATCGGTGTCCTCACTTGCCGGTTCCAGTCGGGCGTTGCTTTTGTGGCACAGAAAATCGCCATCGAAGTTCCGAGCGTGGTTTATATTTGGATTCATTTGATATTGGCAGGTATGTCGTTGTCAGTAAAATTACTGTAACATTGTGAACTTGACTGCTGTCGTTATGTCAGTTATGTAGTTAGAGGTTTAATTGTGCAAAACGACGCAAGGTATAAACGTTATCAGCATCCCTAAATATATTTCGATAGATTAGTTAGTGATAGATGGTTTATTAAAACTACACATTGGAGCTGTTGAATTGCGTGAAAGATCACAATCCAAGGTATATACAATTTAAAAATAAATACAAATTAGGAAGATTTACAATTTAGATTAAGAAGTTTAACAGACGAAGGAATAAAAGTGTTTAAAAATTTGTTTGTGTTTGATATTTGTGGTGTTACTCTGAGTGTATATCCACACCGGGCGAGCTTGAAAAATATGCCCGGCCACGGTGGAATTCGAACCTACGACCTTTGGAATATTGTTTGCGGTTAATCGGCAGAAACACAAGACTGGCTTAAGGTTATGTTGCTTATAGCCGCTTATACTTTGTCAAATTTCCGCGGACCGCTTTGTGTCATTTGGCCATGGTTAAAAGCTTGAGATTCATCAAATTCAGTACATTTGAAAATTTTTATACCTTGCATCAATGAATTTGGATACTGCTTGCAGTAGAATATCTACTTGTCAAGATTATCGATTCAATAAACGGTAGGATGCCAGATTTTCGGGGTGGACGTTTCAAGTTGCTAGAATCCTGGTGGGTAGTATGGCGAAAATTTCAAATTTTAAGCGAAGCAAGTTCTGTATTCGATTGTTCAAATCATCCATTTACTGTGACGCAAAATCTGCGCATTTCTCACAGAAAATATCCGCGTAAAAGAACGCGTTCAGTAGGTTAAGAATGACCAAGAACCACTCTGGCTGCATAGGCGTCGAAAGATCGATAAGTGGGGGGGGACATATATTCGTGTTCACAGACTTAAAAACAATCTACTTCAAAATAAATTAATAATGCAGAACACGAATATATGAATATGGTCCCCCCCCACTTATCGATCTTTCGACGCCTATGTCTAGCTGACAAATGAGGCTGGTTCCTTAAAACCTTTAGAATACATGCTTTAAGGGCACTAAGTATAAGGGAGCCAGGCAGGTATACTCGGCAGGTATACCCTGGTTGGCGCGGGGGTTTTTTCTGTAACTATAGCAGTGACCAAAATCTATTTTTGCCATCTTAGCGACTAAATTCTCGACACCGAAGGATTCAATTGCATGACTTTTTTGAAAACCAACCGATATGGCGATATAACTATACTGTTGTAGAAAAATCAAGAAAATGCCTGTAGCAAAAATGTTTTAAAGTATTGTTAACAGGATTGTTAATTAAATCATTTATACAACTATAGCGGTCATACAAATCGATGTAATAAGATTTACGTATAGATAACAAAACGCCAGGACATTAGCCGCCTAACTCGCTATGCATGCATGCCTATAAACACTGATAAAAAAGCTAATCCGTAATTACCGCTTCTTTTTATTCATTGGATTTTGAAAGGATCGGCAATAGGTGGCTTTCCGCTTTAAATGCACAAAAGAATCTCATTAGAATATCATTATACTTGGATTTTTTTTGTGTTGGTGTAATGTACTCAGGTGAATATGATGCTTGTGATGTTACTCTGAGTGTACATCCACACCGGGCAAGCTTGAAAAATATGCCTGGCCACGGTGCGAATCAAACCTACGACCTTTGGAAAACTAGCCCAATGCTGTACCAACTGATATTTCGGAACTGAGTCTAGTTCCTTCGATATATCAATGCAATCTAGTGATCATGGTCGTAGGTTCGATTCCCACCGTGGCCAAGCATATTTTTCAAGCTTGCCCGGTGTGGATATACACTCAGAGTAACATCACAAGCATACTTGTCATCCCTCTGCTTTTGTGTTAAAAATCCGTAGAATTGTTTGAAAGCCATCTACTCAAATTAATTAACGACTTTCGCAACGGCCAGCTGTTTTTCTCACATAGTTCAATAATGCTTTTCTGTTGCTTTTCCCTTCGAAAAGGCTAGCGCTTCCCGTCTTTTCCCAATCCAGTTTATTTGGAGAACTTTCGAATCCACACTGGACAAAATTGTGAAATCCATACCAAAATTTGATGGAATTTACAATTGCATCACCAAATCCATAGTATATCACATATATACAGGGTGTATATAAAAAAGGTAATCGAACTTCAGCGCGCTATTGTATCTGAATTACTCTGCGTATGAACGAGATTTTTCACATTCGGAAAGATCATGCTTTTAGCTGTTGAATGATATCTTCTTCTTCGTGATGCCAAATGGACAGAAAATGAGCAAATACGAATCCGATAAAAAATGTTAGTCAGAATCGCATATTTGCACCGTTGAGAGTTGGGTCTAAAACCATTGAAAGTGAACCCCCTTTGGTACTTAAGTTGATGAATTTCACTTCAATAAACGACGCACATATTCATAATTATTATTAAGTAAGAATAAATCTTAGCTAAGCTACGACACGTTCGTGATTAACAAGGCCAAGGGTGGGTAGTAGCGAAGTAGTTGTATAGTTCGCTACTGTAGCGAACTACAATTTTCAAGTAGCCAGTGGTTTTTGAGTACTTTTTTAAAACAGTAGCTGTAGTTATAGCGAACTACATTTTGCCTAAAAGTAGCCAAGAAGTTGGCTACTTTTCAAACAGCGAATCGCTATTCGCTACTTTTTAAAATTGTTAGTAACTTGATAGAATAGCATGATATTGAGACACGGTCTGCTTAAAATCAATACTCAATAGTCAATTTGCACGCCTGAACACTGTAGTGCTTTCAAAAATGTTGCTTTGTGTTTACTGTTGTTACTCGTAAACTCGATTTGTTATAGGTTACATTCCAGCAATAGATGCTCCAAATACAGTAAAACTAAAAATATAGAGTAGCGAAATAGCGAAATAGTTCGCTACATTTTTTAAGCAGTAGCTGTAGTCAGTAGCGAACTACCTTTCTTAAAAGTAGCAGTAGTTCTAGCTGACTACATATTTTTGAAGTAGCTGTAGTTATAGCGAACTACAAAAAATTTGTAGTCAACCAACCCACCCTTGGTGATTAATTGCTTTTTCTTTTGTGATGCATTGTTTTAATTAGGCACAGTGCCACAGAGGTGAAAATATGCGATTGATTTTTTCTCCACTTGGCATGAAAAGCATGTCATTCAATAGCTAAAAGCCTGATCTTTCCGAATATGAAAACCAATTGTTCATACGCCGAGTGATTCACGTATAATAGCGAGCTGAAGTTCGATTACCTCTTTTTTTATACACCCTGTATTATTCCCATACTATTATCCATTGTATGGAAATTGCGACTAGTATGAAAATTGGATTTCCGTATTATTTCCAACAAGGAACTATGGCTAAGCCGGATTTTGAAAACAATTCCAGTGCCACATTTATGTATGTAGCTGGTGGAGCCACGTGACTACAAATCAGCCAATCGCATTTAGTTTAAACAACAGCGATATATACTTCATAACAGCATTGTTTAAGCGCTGTAGGGTTAAATACCATTGGCCGCTACCGGATGGAACTTCTTTATCTGTTTAACCAGCTCAGTTATTTCTTAAGGATTCACTGAACACAAAGAACAATGTACCAAAAATTGTCATTATTGCTTTTTGTGGTCGGAAGCGCAGGTGAGTGCACATTCACGGCATACCTGACCATATTTAGAGCAATTTAGATATTTATAGACTCTGAAAATAATGAAGCCATTTTTTTAGCGTTTGACATTGACTTTGAACAAGACTGTTAGACTCTATGTTGCCACATCATCTCAAAATTGGTGATAGTTTTCGGATAATTTCGGGCCGATTTCAAACGCTTGCCGTTAAACTTTTCCAGCGAACCCCCACCCCTAGCCACCTCCTCCCTCCCCCGACGACGGCTCTCCAACATGGGGTTCCTGGTTGATACTGTAGACCTCTGTTTTAAAGTTCAGTTGTGAATGCTCGAAGGTTGAGCTCAAAATATTTTCAAAGTCAAAAAGTGTAAAGGTTGACGTCCACAAACCACGCGTACGTCGAGAAGAAACTGATTTATAACCGATATAGAAAATCAGACACAGTGGCGTCGGTAGCACATTGCTATTAGAGACCTAACAATTTTAAGACCGTAACGCGACGGCAACGGCTACCAATACAATAGATCATTGAAAAGAATTGAGTAATTACAATAAATGAATAATTTAGACATTGTCCTCGCTCTGTTTACAACGCCAAATCACATATTTTCACGTGTTGATACAACGGTTGCATTCCAAGCCACAACAAGCGCAACTTCAAACTGGGTTTAGCAGAACTCTTCCCAACCATAAAACCCATGTCTTCAACTTCTAAGACTGTATTAAATTCATACGATTGATAATATACGACGAACTATCGACTACCATTTATTTGAAGGAGTTTGTTTTGGCCGTCGCCGTCGCGCTTGCCGTCCTAAAATCGTAAGGTCTCTATTGGCGCGGGGAACGGGGGCTCAACCAAGGCATAGAATAAAGATCCATATAGAAGGGCCACTCAGGGGTGCAACGTGTCCTCGTTTTTTTATGCAAAAATATGCAGTTTACTGGCCAGAGGCGGAGCAGCCAGCCAGTACAGCGTGTTTATTGGCCAGAAAATGTCATTGACTGGCTAGGAAAATGGCGGCCAACATGCGTAATGCGACATGCGCGAGGACAGAAACTTCAAAGCTTCCGACGTAAGTGGCCCTTCTATATGGATCTTTATTCTATGACCAAGGGTCGTCTGGGGGGGAAATTTTGTGTTTCCGAAACCTCGGAAGAGTATATTTTCCGTGTTTCCTGAGAGGAATTTTTATCAAAGTTGTGAATTTCTTGCATTCAAAAACTCAAGATTTTGTAATGCACTTTATAGCTTTACAGGGTTCGTAGTCTCCAAGACCAAAAAAATTCAAAGACTTTCAAAGATTTTTTCTGCCTATTGTCAAAGACTTTTCAAAGACCTTTGAGAGCAATCAGGTGTCGAAAAATTGCG